AGGTTGTACTGTCGATTCGCTCGATGTGTTAGCCAGCTTTAATGAGAATACTTAAGTGAATTAACTGATAATGACAGCCGGACGCACCTCAGGAGACGAGCTAGCTTTACTACAGCATCTGCAGCAATCTGACTATCTATCGATCGTTCTGTCTATCTCGCTAATCTTCATTCTATTACAGTTTTTTACGATCGCTATGACAATTTTTTCAGTACTTTTAACAATTTTCCTAAACTCTTAACATAGTTAGCACACCATCCGTCTGTGTAGGCTATACAATTAACACATTTCTTGTTGCTTTGACACAAAATGCATGCAGTTAACACAAATTTAAAATGCTTGAACTTCTTTTACGCACAAGCTCAACCAAGACATACACTGTATGTCAGATCAGATAACATCATATTAGTTCCCTTACTAAAAATTGCACATTTTTATGTATCCCTTCCAGGTCAAAACAGACCTGAATGTGTTCTGAGGAATTGTGTATTTCATGTTTATGGTTTTATAAAGCAAGTCAGAGTATTGCTGTAATCACAGAGACGGAGGTGTGGAGGGAGCAGGGCCTTTGAACACATACGGATCATGATCACTGGCCCTTTTGCTTCGTATCTCATCGTTGCGAGATCTTCCCGTGGAAGTAAAGAGCTTCACTCGTGAGACTGGTGTGTGTCAGGAGAGCAGGTGTGGAGCTGATGGGTCATTGATGCGGCACATTAAAAACCAGTCTCTCTGCTCCTCTAAACGAGGAGTCGCTCTGGTTCTCCAGCAGATGTGACAGACTCTCGGCTCATTTAGCAGACATCCTGCTTCATCCAACACAAACTGTGAAGTCAGACACTGAATTTCTCCTTGATGCTGGATTTTTATCCACTGTAGTCCTATAAAATGACAGATAATAGGCCGTTATTGCAAAATTCATTCAGTCAGCAGAAATGATTCATTCGCTCTTTTGTTCAGACAGATGGGCGGTTTTGGGAGGTTGCTGGAGTGTATCTACTGTATGTGGTTGCTATATTGTTTCTGTTTTATTGTAATGGTTTTCTGGGTTGTTTCGTTGTGGTTGCTAGGGTCTTCTGGGTGGTTGCTAGGCTTTTCTGGCTGTTTCTTGGTGTTTTCAGACCTGTACGCATTTTGACCTGAAAGTCTGATTTGTGACAAAACTGCACAAAAAGCTGGTGATCTTTCAAAATAATGTTTGAAGGTGAAGAAGAAGAAATTAAGACGGCCATGAATATCGTAATTTTGCTGGTATTATGTAAAATGCAATAATAATAATAATAGTTATTATTATTATTATTAAATCATATAATTATATTATTTTTAGTGCTGTCAAACGATTAATTGCAATTTATCGCATCCAAAATAAAAGTTTTTTTTCATAATATATGTGTGTACTGTGTATATTTATTATCTTAATATATAAATACACACACATGCATGTATATATTTAAGAAAAATGTGTTTTGTTGTTATATAAAATATTAATATTTATGTATAATATAAATGATATATGAATATATATATATATATACATGTAAATATTTTTAAAATGTATACATGTATGTTTGTGTATTTATATATACATAATAAATATACAGTACACACACATTATGTAAACAAAAACTTTTATTTTGGATGTGATTAATTGCGATTAATCATTTGACAGCACTAATTATTATTAAATACTTTTTTTAAATATACTTTTTACATGTAATTTTTATGATAGTAATTTATTTAATTTTTATAATTTGATAAAATACAAATATTTTAACAACAACATTAATAATAATAATATATTATTATCATTATTACTTTTTTTTTACATACAATATTTAATTATTATTATTAAATATTATATTCTTTATTTTACTGTACTATAGTATTTTTATATTATTGTTATTATTAATACTTGTTGCTGTTGTTTTTTTTACATACAATAGTATTTTCATTATAGTAATTTGTTTAATTTTTATAATTTAATAAAACACAAAATTGTTAACAACAACAGCAGCAACAACAATGATAATAATAATAACATTATTATTATTATTTTTTCTCCCACCTGTTTTATCATCCAGCAGGTGAAAACTGTGCATCCGATCACTTAGTGACGTAACTAGTCATGATGCATGAGAGAGCCGAGGCTCATAATCAGACACCAATATGAGCTCATATGTTCATGTGGAATTATTAATGAAGTCTTACGATGGATCATCGTTCAGATATGGAGAGATATGGCTGTACACATGATAAATTACACTCGTTCTCACAGCGATAGTGTTTTCCCAGAATGAACTGTCTGAACGCCCTCGAATGCTCTGTAGTTATTAATATTCGTCACAGCAATGAAATCACATCCGGCCTTCAGACTGGATCTTTATTTCAAGGCTGTAATGAAGGCAGGAGCTCTGTTTAAAACAGCTTCGTTAGGATCCTTGTCCACATAAAGAACTGAAGACTAAGTGTCCGGGAAACTGTAACCGTGTTCCTGCAGCTCAGTGTTGCTCAGCGGTGTCCGTATTCCAGACGGATATTGATCTTCTTTCATCCTGCAGATTCGTCCCACGGCGTTCAGCTGACCCTGCTTTTGTCCTGTTATCTCTCTTCATCTTTGTCTCAGTCCTGTCGATTATTCCAGGTGACCGTGTTGGGTTTTATGGATCTATTTGCTGTCAACATCTGTCAGAGTCGACTTACAACAATAGGGCTGGGTTATTGAACTACAAATGGGTTTAATTTGATTAATTAACATTGCCCAATATATACAGTACAGGAGTTATATTTAATAAATGTTGTGTATCAGTATTTCTGTCAGAGTGAATGATTTATATTTCCTTTGATAATTGATGAACATTGCTCAACATTCGAAAATTCCGAAACGAGACTGAATTTGTTACAATGTTGCATTTTCTTCTTAGTTCAGTTCGCTTTCACAAGAAGGCAACGTTGCAAAGCGTGCCAAACTTGTGAGGTTTTACGAGCGTGTGTGTACGCCTCAGATGTGTTTGTGCATCGGTTGTCCGTCTATCAGATGCTGCTCTTCATCAATACTCCACACGGAGAGCGTGACGCTCGGATTGATCTGATGATACTGAAGCTGCTGAACGCACTGAGATGATATCGAACTGCATAAAAGCACAGGATACACTATCGCTCAGAAGTTTGGGATCAGAACGATTTTTAATGAGTTTCTTCTGCTCATCAAGGCTGCATTTATTTGATCAAAAATACAGGAAAAAAATTTAATGTTGTGAAATATTATTATGATGTAAAATAAAATTTTTTTATTTTAATATACATTAAAATTTAATGTATTTCTGTGATGCGCAGCTGTATTTTCAGCATCATTACTCCAGTCTTCAGTGTCACATGATCTTCAGAAATCAGTCTAATATGCTGATTTATTATAAGCGCTGGAAACTGTTGCTGCTTCATATTGTTTTGGAAGCTGTGATACTTTTTTCAGGATTCTTTGATGAATAAAAAGTTAAAAAGAAGAGTATTTATTTAAAATAGAATCTTTTCTATTTTGATCGATCTTCCCACCCCTATCCGGAATGCTGAATCCCTGACAATTTTCAAGCGATAGCTGAAAACTCATCTCTTTCGAAGCTACTTGACTTCATCATAAAAAAAAAAAAGTCTCTCTCTTTATTTATTCCTTCTCTTTCTAGCTTGTACTTATTTGAACAATGTCTAAGAACTTGGTATTACAACCACTTCTTGTGTCTGTTTGCCTCTTTAAGAAGAATCGCTTTATGTATCCCCCAATTGTAAGTCGCTTTGGATAAAAGCGTCTGCTAAATGACTAAATGTAAATGTAAATATGAGGAAGATGGGAATAAATAACACATTTACTGGATCCTATTCAGCTCGACTGACGCGTGTGATGTGATGGATGCGGTTGATTTGGGTTTTAAATGATATATTGCTTCGCAGTTGTGTTTTGTGATCTTCCCACCCCTATCCGGAATGCTGAATCCCTGACAATTTTCAAGCGACAGCTGAAAACTCATCTCTTTCGAAGCTACTTGACTTCATCATAAAAAAATTTTAAAAACAGTTTCTCTCTCTTTATTTATTCCTTCTCTGTCTAGCTTGTACTTATTTGAACAATGTCTAAGAACTTGGTATTACAACCACTTCTTGTGTCTGTTTGCCTCTTTAAGAAGAATCGCTTTATGTATCCCCCAATTGTAAGTCGCTTTGGATAAAAGCGTCTGCTAAATGACTAAATGTAAATGTAAATATGAGGAAGATAGGAATAAATAACACATTTTCTGGATCCTATTCAGCTCGACTGACGCGTGTGATGTGATGGATCCGGTTGATTTGGGTTTTAAATGATATATTGCTTCGCAGTTGTGTTTTATGTGTGATTGGTGATTCTTACTAGGGCTGTGCGATAACTCATTAAATAATGCGATATTCGATATGCGATACGATAATGCTTAAAGTGCCACATGCTCAGATGAAACAGTTTTACTCAGAGTCAGTTCTGTGCACTTCTATAGCTATCTTGTGTCATATATACATATATATATATGGTTATTTGTATGTATGCACCAATAGCTCCTGTAAAACCACAACAAATTCCTTGTGTTTGCGCACACTTAAGCGGTGAATAAAGCTCATTCTGATTCTGATTCTAATAAGAAAGCACCCCTACAACAACTTCTGAAAGTGAACGGTAGTGTTTTACTCGAGCATTACATAAAAATGTCATTTTAACATTAGTGTAATCATTTTAACACGAGTTTAGGAACTGAATAATAAAAAGGAAAAATAAACCACTGCTTAGTATTTACTCTTTGAATTAAATATGCACTGATTCTTATTTAAGCTACAAAAGTTATTTAGGTGAGAGCAGCGAGTGATTTTCTCTTTGTCTTTTGTTCATGGCCCCAAATATTGCAAGCTGTAGCGATACGCGTATTGCGATAATTTCGATATATTGCACAGCCCTAATTCTTACCCATGAATCTGTGTTTCCGCAGCTGTTCCTGTTCCAGTTACTGAGGGGTTTGTCTTACACCCATCAGCGCTACATCCTTCACCGGGACCTGAAACCACAGAACCTGCTCATCAGCGACACCGGAGAACTCAAACTGGCCGACTTCGGTGAGAAACCCGCTGCTGAACATTGGTCACATTGGGTCTCGTTAACTAACAACTACACGGATCATTCACAGGATAAACACTTTTTAATTACATATGCTTACCAATTTAAATATGAATAGTTTGTTTAAAACTAACTCTGACAGATATATTGATAAACTATACTGATAAAAAATTTATAAATATTTAAATATGATTACTTATTTTTGTAAATATTAATATTAAAATTTTTCTTTTGCAACTTAATATTTTTTCAGCCATTGGGAGGCAATAATTACATTTATTTTATTTATTTGTATTAATTTATATTATTTATGTCATCGCCCAATATATACTATTACGTTTATTAAATATGACTGTGTGTGTATATATTTATTTTTATTTTTTGTGTGTGTTTATATTGTAAATGAATATTTATTTCAGAGTAAACTATTTATATTTGAGTTGATAAATGAAATAGATAAATATTAATGTTTAAAAAATAAAATTTAAATATGAATCAGATTTAAATATTTATTTATTTTAGATTGTTTATAATTTTTTATCAAAGTTATATATAAATATTTTAGCAAAAAAATTGCTAAACAAATAAATAATTATACGTATATACATATATATATATATTACATATATATATATATATATATATATATGTATATACACACACAGACATACACACACACACACACACACACACACCAAAATCTCTCCCATTGGTTGTTTTTAACCACATTTCAGACTGAGGCTTTTCAAGTAATTTGGTTGTAATTAGGGATATAGCTTTAAAAAAAGTTTCAGTTTTCAGCCTTTAGAATATTTAATACATATCTGAATATTTATGTATTTGCTCTGAAATAGCTTACAATTATGTTTTTGTTGTTCAGTCATTAATGTCAAGAAACGTAAACTCAATTCAAGTAGGAAAATACAGTAATAATCTAGTGAAAATAAGCAAGGCATGTAGTAATCGTCATTAAAACATCTGGCTGTGTTGTTATGGTGTTTGGTTTTGGGCTTCCTGCTCTTCCTCGAGTCATTGAATTGTTCATATCGATCATTTAGATGTGGCTGTTTTGACTGAAAGATTCACTCCTACAGATACTGAACAAGCACTGGCGCTTTGGTCTTTATTTCAGCAGCAGTTTGGTTCTGTCGTGCCAGTGTGTGTGTGTGCGTGTGTGTGTGCGTGTGTGTGTGTGTGCGTGTGTGTGTGTGTGTGTCTGTGTGTGTGCGTGTGTGTGTGTGTGTGTGTCGTATCACCATATGTCCAGTCTGCTGTCACAAGGGCATTATGGGTAGACACAGACACACATCACTGCTTTCAGTGCTTTCCAGAGGCACTTGAGAGCGAACAGGCCTGTTGTGAGTCTGGATCAGCAGCTAAACACACGAGACTCACGTGTTTCACCAGCAGCTGAAGAGCCATTAGTGAGAGGAGAACGAGCCGGAACGGATGGACACAAGTGACCCGTTACTGATAGTTAAACTGGTTATAGTTCAGTTCACCTTTAGCTGGCTGTTTACTGAAATCACAACAAAAGACAGTGTTGTCCACCTGCTCCCATAAAGTATTGTGTCTGCTCTCTCTGCTTTTAATATTTATCAATAAACTTAAAATATATTATTTTAAAAATTATATATACAGTGGGTACGGAAAGTATTCAGACCCCCTTAAATTTTTCACTCTTTGTTATATTGCAGCCATTTGCTAAAATCATTTAAGTTAATTTTTTTTCCTCATTAATGTACACACAGCACCCCATATTGACAGAAAAACACAGAATTGTTGACATTTTTTCAGATTTATTAAAAAAGAAAAACTGAAATATCAGATGGTCCTAAGTATTCAGCCCCTTTGCTCAGTATTTAGTAGAAGCACCCTTTTGATCTAATACAGCCATGAGTCTTTTTGAGAAAGATGCAACAAGTTTTTCACACCTGGATTTGGGGATCCTCTGCCATTCCTCCTTGCAGATCCTCTCCAGTTCTGTCAGGTTGGATGGTAAACGTTGGTGGACAGCCATTTTTAGAGACATACCTCTCTCACCAAGGCTCTTCTCCCCCGATAGCTCAGTTTGGCCAGACGGCCAGCTCTAGGAAGGGTTCTGGTCACCCCAAACGTCTTCCATTTAAGGAATAGAGGCCACTGTGCTCTTGGGAACCTTAAGTGCAGCAGAAATGTTTTTGTAACCTTGGCCAGATCTGTGCCTTGCCACAATTCTGTCTCTGAGCTCTTCAGGCAGTTCCTTTGACCTCATGATTCTCATTTGCTCTGACATGCACTGTGAGCTGTAAGGTCTTATATAGACAGGTGTGTGGCTTTCCTAATCAAGTCCAATCAGTATAATCAAACACAGCTGGACTCAAATGAAGGTGTAGAACCATCTCAAGGATGAGCAGAAGAAATGGACAGCACCTGAGTTAAATATATGAGTGCCACAGCAAAGGGTCTGAATACTTAGGAACATGTGATATTTCAGTTTTTCTTTTTAAATAAATCTGCAAAAATGTCAACAATTCCGTGTTTTTCTGTCAATATGGGGTGCTGTGTGTACATTAATGAGGAAAAAAAAAATAACTTAAATGATTTTAGCAAAAGGCTGCAATATAACAAAGAGTAAAAAATTTAAGGGGGTCT